CTGCTATCTTGTTCTGTGTTAGATGTAGACATGATTACGACTGCTCCAAAATGACAATATCTCACGAAAACCTGGGCCGCCGCCATTTTAAGAATCAAGTACGCAGCCACGGTATACTTGGCGTAGCGCGTGAACTATAATCATGCACATGGGACACTGGCCTCAACCCACGTGTCTTCATCAGGGCGCTTCCTACTGTTGGTGAGCACCTTTGCAAAATACGGACCCCCTCGAAAGTTTTTGCGCTGAGGCAACCTCCTTCTCAGACCTTCCACCACCTCGCATTTTTTCTAGAATTACTCCACTTTTCCTGCAAAAGACCGTCGTTGAATGGGCGAGAAGGGGGGATACAGCGCGCCTAGAAAAGAGAAAATCGAGAAAAGTCAGCAACCAAAAACCTTTCTCCCAGCGGCAAATCCGATCCCCTCCCTCCAGCAACCAAATACTACTCTTTCCCCCTGCCCCAAGGATCCCCACCGTACGACAAGCCCTGGGCTTCATATATCCTTAGGAAAGAATTATTTGCCCTTTCCCTGCATAACTGTATGAGCGCAAATCTGATCTAAGAAAAGACATGGTCGCAAATTCACCAGAATTCCTGGACTTTGAGTACAGCATTTTGACAGCTAGTTAATCTGCGTAGCCGTATTTTCTAGGTAAAAGAGATTGGCGAATTTCACAGGAGTCCCTCTTAGAAAACTATGTTCTAGTACTCACCCTGTTCAGGATGGCCTGCATGGCGGTGATCGTGATGCTCTCTTGGAGGCTCCACCTGCCTCTCCTGTTCGCGTTCCGGCTCTTGTTGTCGTTCTTGCTCTCGCTCTGGCTCTCGTTCAGCACCTTCCATCCTGTCCCCTTTCCGGTTCTCGTCTCTCTTCTTCCCGCGGAACACTTTGTCGTCCATCAGTCTGGGCAGAGCTCGGCGATCGTTGGCCATCAGATGGTCCTCCACGTGGTAATGGAGGAAGGGGTTCCCTAATCTCCGGCACCTGGTTTTCTTCCGCTCCGTCCTCTGGTTGCGGCTCTGAAGCATCAAGAGAGTAGACATTAAGTAGTCATAATACAAATAGGCAAGGTGATCTGAAAAATGGTATACCTGCACATATACAACGAGAACACATGCGTTCATCAGTGAGAATGTTGCATCCTTCCGGACATCTATCACTGTACGGATCGACTGGACAGTCTGGTGCTGAAAGATTCAACTATGGTTTTCAGAACTCGCTGGTGCTTTGCAACACTTACGCGGTTTTCTCTCGTCTCCGTCATAGTCAGTCTGGTCGTAGTTATTGTACTCGTACTCATCAGCGTTTTCCCTTGGGTCTTCAATGGCTGAGCCCGAGATTCGGAAGATAAACGACGTACCCTCTTGATTGTTTGAAAGCCTGAATTGATTGGCTGCTTTAATTTTTGGAAATTACTGGTAATGGAAAACTCGGAACTAGGTGTCACAGACGTCAGAGGCTCATTTTGCGGGTTCGATTTCTGCTCACACCATCCGAATCCCGGGTTAGTAGGCTGTACGTCCGTTTGGAACGGCTGCGCTCACACTTCGCGATGACGCGAGTCGACGCGCTTCACAGTGCGTCGTCGCGCTACCGTCGCTATCGCACTCCATTGCTATAGACGGGACTGCAGCCATAGACGGCTATCGATCGGTGCCGGCCGCCGGTAGTTTGAGAGAGTGAAGGAGAATAGGAGGGTACCAGGCCGTGTGATTTAAAATAGCAACGTTCCTGTTTCTCGACCGCATTGCAGATCGTTCCATTTATGCCCCTTATCACACTGTCTGGAACCATCCTATTCCCCCACAATCTCTCAAAGCACTAGCTGCCGGCGCCGATCGATACCCTTCCATGGCGTTGAAGTCAATTACGACGATAACACGACGACGCGCATTATCACGAAGGCTGGACGCAGATAAAAGATATCTCCCTGAGACCCTCCGCTTTCTACCGTTACTTCTGCGCTTCTTCCCTTGTCTGTGGACGGGACAACTAGGTAGGCGTCAGAACTGCGAGGGACGCAGCGCCTTCGTTACTACCTGTGAAGCTGCGAAAGTGAGACATTTCAGAGACTGAGGGCCGACTACTTGTGCGAAGAAGGACGCTTACGAACTGCATGAGCGCGTTGATTGTCCTCAAGTACGTCTGCGATAGGCAATGAGCTCGAAGTTCTCACCAATCGTGGTCGGCTTATTATCAAAAACTACCTATCCCCGGACATTTTATCGAATACTTTCCTATCTATTAAAAATCGCATACCCAACAAGATCCTTCACATCCGGTGTCCCGGAGTTGATATTAGCCTGATGTCTTCCATCTGACATGGCGAATCCACTCTGTGCATAGCGTCCTCCAGAAGCGGACCACGGTAATGCAAGGAATTGTATCAGTGCGTACGATGT